CAGGGGGGTGTAAGGGGTGCGGGAGTGCAGGGGCTGCGGGGGTGTAAGGGCTGCAGGTGCGCAGGGGCTGCGGGTGCGCGCGCGGAGCCCGAGGCGGTCCTTAGCTCACGGAGCCGACGCCTGCCAGCAGCACTCTGTGAGCTCTGCCAAGTCTGGCCCCTATTCCGGTGACCCAGGGGTTGTCATAAAGACACGTGGATCCTATCTGGAGAGTCACTGCCAGGAGTTAGAGATGAGCACGAGTGCATGGACCGTCCTTAAATGAGGGGGTTTCTTGTGCACCTTCTCTTTGTGCACTTCATGGTCGCCTGCCCTTAATCGTTTCTAATACTGTCCTAGGAATCATCCACTTGGAAGGCAACTGTCTTTTACATGTTACAGTTTTGTGAGCCATCTGGTGTCTATGAATCTGCTTTGTGTACTAAATAAAACCGTCGTTCACTTTACTCTCTGTCCATCTTTACTCTTACATATTTATTGAAACTATATTGTCTTTTATTGCAGTATTTTCTTATTGTTTTCCCCAATTCAAACAAGTTTCCTAGAAAGCTTTATGGTACTGTAATGTACATAGGCAGAATTCACTTAGGAAAATTCATATGTGCTCAAAAATACTTCCTTAGTGTATGCTTCAAAAGGTAAGAATCATCTTTTCAAAACTGCTGGAGAAATTAGGTAAATACATTGTAAAGCACTGGGGTATACAAAAATCATGCTTTGAGGAATAATCTAGGGATTTTTTTTTAAAGATCGTTTTTACTACGTCTTAATTGTTTTTATCATTGTTGGCATCAATATAGCACCTATGTGCACTGCAACCAATGTATAATTTCAAATTGTAGACCATTTGGTTTATTAATTATGGTTTGTTAATGTCACTATTATAATGCTGATTATATTCTGCAGCAGGTATTACCAAAAGAAAACTTCCGGGCATAGTTTTGTACCTCCTGTTTCTCTGATTTTTATGAGATGATACGCCATTATAAGCAGATATACTGCCTTTATAACCATACCAGAATTCCTACAGTTAGATGAATGGCATACTCTTTTCTTTCCCAACGATTCACTTTAGAAAGCTATAAACTTGGTCTAGTAATACCAACATTGCTCAAAATATTTTTGACTTTACACTTTCGGCATTATCTTCAGAGCTAGTCACATTTAAAAAATGTTTAATGTGCTAATCTTCATATTATGAAGATTTCACTTCTGGAAGCTTCTAGCAGTCTCTCACAAATGAGAGAAATGAAGTAGATGTTTCAATCTGATCTTTACAATATAAAACATAAGTATGATTATTTTCAAATTCTTAAATTTTTATTTTGTTTTGAGGGTTTGTAGAGGATTTGGTTGGTTTTTATTTAGTTGTAGAAATACCTCAGGAGTATTGTTTGCCATTGTAGAATATTGGCATAATAATCCTCATGTTAGGCTATTTCTTTGGATCTTCAGTTGAATATACAAAAAGCTCTTACCACATGTATTATGAAGTCATTCTTACTATCTTGTGATTGTACTTCTATTCCTTAGCAACCACACAAGTACATGTGTATTACTAAATTCCTAATTATCTTACCTCTTACTAGTTATTTTAATATATGCTTATGATTTTAGTGAAATACATTTTTTAAAGTAAGAATCTGGCAGCATTTGGTTTTCTTCCAAATAATTGTGCTCTGCTTTGCCATGAAATTTCTGGGTTTTTTTTTATTTGATGATATTACTAGATTATTAATAAGTTTTCTGTTGGACTATTCTGTATTTTTAAGAGTTAGCCTTTGCCATTTTACTAGTAAGTGTAGTGACTACAGTCAGTGGATGGATTATCTCTGTATTGTACTAGCCTCTGTTTTAGATCGTTTATCACATTGTAACTTTGTTCATGCAACTTGACTGAACCTTTAAAATTTATGTCATTTCTCTTTTCCAAATCAAATCCTTCTTTGCCTGTTGATGGATCATCTTTGTAATTTTGTGTATATGTGTGTTAAATTCGTGTGTGCGTATGTGTATGGGTATGCTCACCATTGAGGGCACGTGTGGAGGGCAGAGATTGATGTAGAGAAGATGTCTTCCTCAGTTACTTGCCCACTTAATTTTTTAAAAAAGATTTTTCACTGAACCCAGAACTTGCCATTTCAAGTTATACTAGCTGGCCAGGAAGCCCCCCAGGATTCACCAGAGTCTCTCTGCCCTCTCCTACCCCAAGTGCTGGGGCTGATGTGCATTGCCGCACCTAGTTTTATGTGGGTGATGTTGATCCCAACTCAGATCCTCATACTTTATAGACAGCACTTGACCCACTGAGGCATCTCTCCAGCCCGTCTTGGTAATTTCATTGTAGTTTTCTAGCTTCATCTCCCCTTTTTCCAGCTTTTTAGTAACACCCATTAGACATGTAACACTAAGTAATGCACTTTATGGAGTCCAGAGTTTTGCCTTTGCCATTTTTACTTGTCTAAAATTAATTTTTCTTTTTTTTTTTTGGTCTTTTTGAGACAGGGTCTCCCTGTAGCCCCAGCTGTCCTGGATTCACTATGGAGACCATGCTGGCCTTGAACTCACAGAGATCCACCTGCTTCTGCCTCTCTAGTGTTGGGATTAAAGGCGTGTGCCACCATGTCCGGCTCATTATTTTTTTTTAAATGTAACCAATCCTTGAAAATTGTGATTGATCACATCTGTTTATGGTGATTTTTGGCGAACTAATTACCATACATCTTGCTTCCAGTATGTACATTCCTATATCTTCACATTTCTGTCACAATTATTTTTATTACTCACTAATATTTAATAACTATCTTGAATTTTTCTTAATTACTTGTTTGCATGTTTTACATTTATACAAAGTATTTTTCTAAAGGACACAGGATCATGATTTTTCTGTGTATTCCTTTCAGCAAAATATATAGCGTAATTCAGAACAAATGTTCATAAAATCATTTGGTAGATGTTCAATTAATTATTTGTACAAAGACTGTTCTGTGAACTGTACTCAGATATTTCATGTCATTTTGCCTTTGGGCCATTTAATGAAGCCAAATTAATGTGTGCTATGCATTCATTGCTACAATCTGATTGTCATTGTCATGTTCCTAATAACTTTATTTTGTAGACGCTTAAATGAAAATGGTACATATTAGAAGACATGAGACAAGGAAAAACTCCAAAACCCAAATGCCTGAGCAAAAATCTCGAGTTGATTGGCGGCGGACTAAAAGAAGCATCTCACAGTTATTCGATAGCGATGAAGATCTCGATAGTGATGAAGAATGTGGGAGCGATGAAGAGCTTGATAGTAGTGAAAGTGTTGATGGTGATGAAGAGCTTGAAAGTAATAAGAAACCTGACATTAATGAAGCACCAGAAAAGGAAGCAGAGTATAGATTGATCAAAGTTGAAAGTGAGGGAAGCAGCAATCAGCATCTCACTAGCACTGGCAAGAGTTCAGCAGATGAAGAAAAAATGAACAGAATCAAACATACTGACTTACCAGATCATGAAACACATCCATGTCAAGAGGGGCATGATCTCAACAAGCACACTGGACAAATCATAGAAGAAGATTTAGAAGAAGAACACATCAAGCCAGGGAAAAGAAAAAGGCTGTCTTCTGTGATGTATGACAGCGATGAGAGTGATGGCAGTGATGTCCTAGTTAGAAGAGCGGGTGCTAAACGCCCACGCAGGGTGATTGAAGATGACTGTTCTCCAGTGGAAACGGAGCAAGAAAACCCGGAGAAGTCATTAGCTGCTCGAAAGCAAGAACATCAGCAGAAGCTGAAGGAACTCTCAGAGAGATTCCGCCAGAGGCGCAGTAGTGGTAGAGATTTTGAGGTGTGTTTTATTTAGTTGATTTTGTTGTTCTTGATAAATCTTTACTTGAAAGTAATTTTTATAAATATTCAAGTACCAAATCTGCTTTTTAGTAAGTCTAGTATCCTTGAATATGTTTGATTGTACTCTTACGTTTAATGTTCTGTTATGAGCCTCCTTTAAAAACATTGAAGACTTATTTTTTTATGGTCTTTCCTGTTCTTAACTGCTTACATTCTTAATGTCCACTTTAAACATTTGTACCAGTTAACCAAAGTTGATGTTTCTTAAATTTCAAAAATTCATCATTTAACGACCTAAAATTCCTTATTTTTAGCCTTAAAATATGAACTCAATTCAGTTATTTTTGCTTTCATTTTAATTTGATTTTATAGCCATACAGTACTATTTTAAAGACATGATTTGCTGAAACATTTATTTTAATTTAACTAGGACTGTAAAGAATCTTGCTCAAGCACTGATGATGAAGAGGATGACAAAGAGGATGACGAATCTGATGAAAATGGAGATGATTATATGAGTGATGATTTTGTAGTGAAAGATGAGGAGGCTGACAATGATAACAGAAATCAGCAAGGAGAAAAATTGTCTACATCACAACTGAAATTAGTAAAACAGAATTCTCTTTGTAAGTTAAATATCAGACAGTATTTTATGACATACTCAAATTATATCAAGCATCAAATCAGCCTTCTTATATTTATTTTTTATTTTATGTCTGTGACTATTTTGCCTGAACATATAGGTAAGTGTACCATGTGTATACAATGTCTGCAGAGGCCAGAAGAGGGTGTCAGATTCTTAGGTGGTTAACTGCCCCATTTATTCTGGGAACTGAACCTGGCTCCTCTAAAACTCAGCAAGTGCTGAGCCAGCCATCTCTCAATCCCTAGTCAGCCTTTCAATATCTTCTAATTCATTTGTTAGAAACTATGGCTTTATTTTCAGGTATTTTGAATTTGTCACTCTAAACATTTATTCCAGAAGTCTCAGAAGTTCTTTTCACTGCTGAAAATTCTTGGCCCTAACGAACTAGCATTTATTTCCAGCAGCCTAACTGTAGAAATACAGTTTAAAACACATTAATTTATTCAATTGAAGTAATGGTAGAAAACTCATTAATTAAAATAATATTTCATGGAAAAATAACCATTTTCAAAAAAGGAGAATGGCATTCTACATTCTTTCAGATATCTTTAGAAGTTTTATTTTTATGTATGCACATGCATGCCTGCATATTTATGTAGGTGTGTAGGTGCCTGCAGAGGCCAAGAAGGTGTTGGATCCCTTGGAACTGGAGTTAAAGGCAGTTGGTAGTTGCCTGAGGTGGATGCTAGGAACCATACCTGGGTCCTCTGCAAGAGCATTGAGTGCTCTTAACTGCTCAGCTATCTCCTGCCTCATCAAATACCTTTTTAAATTTATTTTCATTTTGTTTACATGAGGGTATTGCTTGCATGTAAGTGCACCCATGTCATGCAATGCCCATGTAGGCCAGAAGAGGGCATCGGATCCCCTGGAACTAGTAATCTGGTGTTAGTGGTGTGTTTTATGTTGCTGGGCCAGCCTCATAACCCATTGTGCTTTTGCACCATCAGTAAAAGTGTCAGAAAAAATAGTGTCTTAGTATATTGCTTATCTCACAGGTATCTAATCACTGCGCTTTTAGGTGGCTGTTTTTAAGATTTTTTAAAATGTGTCTGAGTGCTTTGCTTGGGTGTATGTAAGTGCGCCATTTGTGCCTGCTGCCTGTGAAGACCAGAAGATGGCATCTGATTCCCTGGAGCTGGACTTTCAAATGGTTGTTAGCCTCCCTGTGAGAACCGAACCTGGGTCTTCTGCAAGACCAGCAAGTGATCTTAACCACTGAGCCATCACTCCAGCCCTTAACCACTATTTTTATCAGGCTTTTAGAAGTTTCCCACAAACTAACCTACCAAATATTGGAAATTTTAACCTTCTGTGTTTTCATGTAACTAATGAAATTAAAAGTAAGAGCACTTGAAAATTTAGGATATGTTTAAATATGTAATCATGATTTTGATCCCTATAGTTGTAAATAAATTGAAAGCTTGTTTTCGTGATGTTTTAAGCCTATAAAAACAGATTGGTAGATTACATATATTTTTCTTCAAGAATACATTCTTCTGTAATATTATTCTAGAAAATCCATATTTACTAAAATTAAGCATAACAGTTTAATTTACACCTCACAATTTATAATGAGACAGTAGGTTGAGGTTTAAATCATACTTCAAGAAACTTCACAGTTTTAGTGAAGAAAAACGGGCATCTCCAAATTAATCTCTATTTTCCTATTATTGATAGGTGTGAGTTCACTTGCCACCTGGACATTTGAATCATAAGGATACTCAATTAGGAAGTATTCCATCATTCTGGATTATATTTCTAGAATATGTTAAAAACCCAAGTCCAGTGTGGAGGAACTGCTGCTTACACCTCTCTGCCTGCTTTGTTTTAACAGCTGTTTGAGAGTTTAGAAAATGGGATGGAAGTTAGAGTTCCATATACTCCCTCACAGGCACAATTTCTCTTATTATTGACCTCTTGCATTAGTTTGATATATTTACATTGATAAGCCAGTCCTGATAACATTATCACTAATACGTAGTTTACATTTTTTGTTTTGTACCTTCTGTGGATGGCAAGTGTATAATGACATACACCCGTCAGAGTATCCTGAATAATTGTTTCATTGTCCTGAAATTCCCTTTATTTATCTGTTAAGGTTTGTAAAATGTTCTCCGCAGACTCAGTATATTAGAAAGCTTGATCCATACATGGTGGCACTGTTTTGGATCGCTGTGAAAACTTTGTATTTTGAAACTTAACTGAAAGAAGTGAGTTCCTAGGGAGCAAGACTTAGGGATTGTAGCCCTACCTGCTTCTGATTGGATCTCACCAACTCGCTCGCTTGTTCATGCTCTCACATTTTCCTTACTGGTCCACCAAGATGTGCATGAGCAGCCTCATGCTTCTGCTGCCAAAACTGCAAGCTGCTTCTGCCATGCACTGTGCCCTTAAATTGTCAGCTGAAATAAATCCTCACTTCAGGTTTGTCCTGTCAGGTATTTGATCACAGCAAGGAGAAGAATGGCTATTGTCCATCCCTCTTTCTCTTTATATAGCCCCTGGAAACCACTGTTCATTTGCTTTTGTCTCCACAGTTTTGCCTTTTCCATCTAATTGAGGATACATGCCTTGTAACTTTTCCTATTGGTTTCTTCATTTACACATTTTAAATTTCCTTCATGATTAAATAAGGTACTGCAGCTCATTTTTTATTGCAGGGTAATACTGCATTGTACAGATATGCTACAGTTTATGCACTCACCTGTTGAAAAACATCTTGGCTGCATCCATGTTTTGACAATTATGAATAAAATTGGTATAAACATTTGCATTCAAATATTTCTATCCACATAAGACTGCATCTCATTTGGAAAAATACCAGGGAGCTCTAGGTTTACTTTTAATACTAAGTATCTCCACTTTGGGAAAATTTGCACCTCAGCTTTTGTGCAGTATGTTTTGTTTTGTGTGTTCTCTCTGGTTTCATGGCTTTATTCAACTGGCTCTTTGCTCAGCTTGTAACTGAGCAAAGTTTTCCGTTTCCTGAATTGACATATTCTATGAGCCAGTGTTCTTTTTGTTCCTGTTTCCCAGTAAAAGTACAGAGTACTACACTCAACTGCTTGCATCCATCATTTCAGTGAACTGTCACCTGGTAAAGCTGATGATGACCTCTACTTGGCAACCTCATCATTTCTTACATTAACCTAGTATTGCTGCGTGCTTTGCTTCCATTGGCCATTGTCCCTTTCTGGATGCTCCTCCCTCTCTCTCGCCTTGTCTTTATATATTACATTCATCTTTTCCCATTTGCCTTGCAAGTTTTGTTTCGTTGGATTCCATCATCAGCTGCCTTCATATTATTTGTACTTGGGGTACTTCCTTTCCCATTACTTTAGCTCAATATACAGGCAAAAATTCCCAAGTATGAAGGCAAGATTTCTCCTAAGCATAAGGCTCAAATTTTTATCAGCTTATTGAGCATTTCTATCTGAGTATACTTCAGACAGCTCAGGCTCAATGTGTGGAAAATTGAGTAATAAATATTGTGAAGAAGAGGGGGTTTAATAGGTCAGTTGTTTTGATGGTACATAATTTCATACATTTACGAAAATTGAAAACAAAAGAGAATTTTTTGGTGTGTAAAAAAACCCAGTAGAGACTGGAGAGATGGCTTGATGGTTAAGAGCACTGACTGCTCTTGCAGAGGACTTGGGTTCGATTCCCAGCACCCGCATGGCAGCTACGAACCATCCTAAACTCCAGTTCCAGGGGAATCTGAAGCCCTCTTCTGACCTCGGCATTGTACTACATGGGAGCACTCATATACATGCAGTCAACACATACACATAAAAATAATGTTAAAAAAAAAAAACCCAGTAAAATAAATCAAAGTAGGCACCCCACTCAAAAACAGACCATATGATAAACCTTTTCTTTTTTATTTATATTTTTATTTTGAGATATGATCTCACACTGTAGCCTAGGCTGCCCTCGAACTCATTATGGAGCCCAGGCTGATTTCAAACTCATGACAGTCCTCCTGCCTTCAGTCTCCCAAGTGCTGCTAGGGTTACAGTCCTGGGCCTCCACTCCCAGCCCGTAAGTCTTTATGACAGGAACACATAGTTGAGTGGATGATTAAGGTAAGCATAATGTCTGAAAACTCCTGAACTTTATGTACTGAGATAAGTGCTGATCATGACTGGATTTTTTTTTTGTAAACACAGGTTATTAAAACTTTAGAGTGATAATATATGATTTAGTCAATATCTTTAATTTTATCATTTTTATTTCATGTAAAATTGACAGTATTTAATGCACTATTTTTAATTAGCCAAGGAATGATGTGCTAAAAGTTGATATAAGTTAATTCTTATTAATTCAAAATATAGTTTCTCATTAAGGCAATGGCCAATACAATGAATAGTGAATACCACTCTGTGGCCTGGGTTAAATTATAATTAAACTAGCATTCCCAGATTCATCTTCCTCCAAGTTTCACAAGAACTCATATTCAACACAAACTTAGGAGAAACATCTCCCAGTTCCACACAGTACACAGTTGAGAATCAAAATTGGTGGTCAATGTAATTAATTTTGCCTTTAGTGGGAATAGTAGGAAGACTCGTGTTGTTTCCCCACTTCATGCCATCTGGTGTTGTTTCCCCACTTCATGCCATCTGAGAGGTACTGTGATGGCTAATCCTGGGTGTCAACTTGACTGGCTCTGGGATTAACTGAAATGAGAGAGATCTTCTTGACTGGATCATCTGAAGCTGGAAGACACACCCTAGATGTGGGTGTTACCTTCTGATGGCAGCCCATATAAAAGGCCAAGGCAGAGAATGCCTGGCTTCTTGCTGCTTGCCTTCTCTCTCGATGGTGAGTTCCTCTTGCTGCTGTAGACTGAAGACTAGCTCATCTTTTAGAATTCGTCAGACCTTCAGTGCCAGATTGGGACTACTGAGACATCCAGCCTCATGGGCTGAGCGACTGGATTCTCAGCCTCTCCAGTGTGGTGTAGCCATTGTTGGACTACTCGGACTATCCTGTGAGCTAAGCTGATAAATATCTATACATATATATATTCATTCATATATATTCTACAGGTTCTGTTTCTTTGGAGAACCCTGACTAATACAGGCACCTCTACCACTTCAGAGGAGGACAGTTTCCTCTTGCTACATGACTAAAGCATTTGGTGGCAGTTACAATCTTTTCCCCTTTTCATCAATCCTTATGTCTGTTTATACTCTGAGATTACAGTTCCCAAGAAAGATGTGGCAGAAGGTTGAAGGACAGACTATACTGTGCCAAAGCAGGTCAGAAGCACAAAAGAGGGATCAGTGAAGGCAGGGTGGGCCAAGGCCAGCTACCTTTAATCCTTCACTTTGACCTTTGCAGGGACAAATTAACTCATTTACTTTGGCTTTAGAACAGAAAAAAAATTACTTGCAGTGTACTGGCTAGGTTATACATCTACAAGAAAAGATTTTCAGCTTATGAGTTTCTTGTGATGTAACCCCATTATCTAAAGAGGATCTTTATTGAAAAATGTGTTTGTGCATAGCGTGATGTTGTATTTGTGTGTGTGAGTATAAACACATATACGTTTTATATTCTAAGTTATCCAGTGATACAGAAGAGAAAGAGTACAACTCTTTTTGAAAGCAGGAGTAGATCTTGCATTTCTTTCCATAGTTTCTCCACATTGAGTTCACTGTGTGTGCAGGGTTAGGGAAGACCTGTTAGAGTAGACAGGAAGGTAATTTTATTTCTCTGCTTCTACCTTCTATGCCAGGCATGCACTTTGATTCCGTGAGAGAATGTCAAAAAGCGATGCACTTCTGCCTAAAGGAATATTTATAAGCTTTCCCTTGATTATTGAAATAAAGTTAATATTAACAAGTTTGGGAGAGAAAGCAGAAATAATGCCCCAGTATCCCTTGTAACAGGATTTATCCCCAGATCTGTGCTGTTGTAGGAAGCTAATCTCCCACAGGTATCAAAAAGATACCTGTGTTTAAAAACAGTAAAAGATCAAAATGGCCAAATTCATAGTAAGTATATAAAACTCAATTGATTTTTTTGTATACCAACAATAAATATTTAAAAGGTATAATCAGGTAAAATTCTATGTATAAGAAAATTAGTTCCTAAGCTGAATCTTAAAAGCATGAGTTTATAGATACAAAAATAAAAATTACTTTAAAATAAAAAGGAAATATGAATAAATAGACAAGCATGATTCTGAAAGGTACTATACCTAGTCGACCAGAAGTTCCTTTTAAAATTATATTTTTGGTCTAACTTTGCTAAACAATCTTGAAGTTCACTTGGAAAGACAGATACATGGAATAAAGTGTATTTTAAAAACAGTAATTAAGAGTTTTTCACTGCAAGATATAAAAAGTTACTCAATTGCAGTAAGTAAAACTCAGGGCAGAGCTGGCACGAGAGTGACTGTCAGGTCAGTAAGAAGGGTACATGGTGCTGAAACAAATCTTAGCATATGTGCAGTAAAGGATGCGTGGCAATCTGCAGAATACTTAAGACTATCAAATGAAGCCTGAGGAAACTGGTTAGCTACCTTACAGTAATCAAATCATGCATAATCACAAATTTCACCTCTTTATCCTTTTCCAGTTTTAAAATGATCATGGAGGGCTGGGTCCACAACCTACAGCAGAGTTCATCTTAGCCTGCAGAGGCCCTGGGCTCAAACCTCAACACTACCAAGAACAACAATAAAGTGGTAATGGGGAGAATTTTTAAGCAGCTGTCCAAGGATATTCACAGAAGTTGTTTGATTATAGGAATTTAAATTACCTCTGGAGGAAATCTGAGCTCTAAGCCTCGTTCTGCCTCTCATTTACATGTGATCTTAGTTAATTTTGTCACAGTCATTTTTCCTAAGTTTTAAATGAGAAATTTGAATTTTATATTCAGTTCTCAATCCAAGTCTCATTTCTGTATTCTGAAAGGTAATCCCCAATTTACCATCACTGTAGTGGTAGGAACACAATCTTCAGGCAGACTGCCTCGGCCTCAAGCCCTGGTTCCAGCACTTACACTAGCTAAATGATCTTGTGAAAAGCCTTCATCATCATATCTGTATTTCTGTTTCCTCAACTAAAAATAAACCAAGAGTAATAGCTCCTCACTTATCCTTTGAGAAGTAAGGCAATACACATAAGTACTTAGGGTGGTTGCATGGTATATACGTACTTGTTCAGTAATGTCTTTCAGCTGGAAATGCTAGGTGACCAATTCTAGGACTGCCCATCTGTCCTCTCAAATACAATGAAATTAGGAACTTCTTTCTGTAGGAGAGTCTGATGCACATTAATAGGAAAGAGATACTGTGCTCAGGAAATTAAAAAACTTCTGAAGTGATGTAATCTCTGTTCTTCAGTTTTCCTCCTAACCCTAAAGAAACACTGATCAGTGTCTTTGAAATAAAGCCCCAGTTCAGGCAGATGTGTAACACTGGGCACCATCGGGTAAAAATTTCTGTTCCATTTTGTTTGATAAACAGGCACAAACGGGGTGAGTTTAGCTTTTTTTTTTTTCTTTTTCAAACATGCCTATTCCCATAGGAACTTTCCTTTAATACAGCTCTGTATTACATCTAGAATTTGATGAAAGTCTAGTCAAAGGTGGATCCTTCTGAAGCATTAGTATATTTTACTCTCCAGTTATGCTTTACTGATTTTTAAGGAAATACCATTTTCATTAATGACACAATTGGCTCTTCTGTAATTTTCAATGATAATCCCTCTAAAGTCTGAGAGACCCAGTGCAGATTTTCTCTTTTGATACTTGTTTTCATTGCTATCCTATTTTTATCACGTTAACACTTCTATTGAAAAGAATGGATACTGGAAATTCCCTGAAAGCTTGAAAACCTTACACAACCCTTTCAGTAACCAAATTACATACAAAGGCCTCTCCCTGTTCAGTCTGCCTTTCTTTTCAGCTGGAAGCAAATCCCAAATCCTTCATGATTGCAAGATGTCTATTGCTTTTCTTCAGTCCCTTGTGAAACATCTTCCACAATTCTAGACATTATCAGGCTGCACTTAATGTGTCTTCACAAGCAGAGCAAATATTCCTTGAATACCATTTGGATCAAGGAAAGGAAGTGTTTGACAGAGAACATTTCCACTGCCACAGTAAACTCTAGCCCCAAAGTATCAAGAATAGCACAATGGCTTAACCTGTCACCACAGGTGAATTCATGTCTGAGACTGAGTTAGTGAGAATGTGAATTTGTACGCATGGCATAGGCTTTCAAGTGTTATGGAAAAATGTGACATCAGAGACAGGAGGAAGGAAAATGGGGTTTTGTACTCACTGAGGTTTTTGGCTGCAGTGGCAGTTCCCTGCACAGTATTGTATGCAAAAACTTACAGACTAAAGCACATTAAGCCATCTATTTTGAAGACTTTTTTTGTCCTTCTAGTTCAACTTAGGTGCACAGGGGTTGTTTTGCTTTTTCACAATGTATCTCTTAATATTCTCCAAAGAATTTTCCCATCGTAATTTGGGAATGTTTGAGATAACATCTAGAAACTTTGGATTAGAAACCACTAAATTTATAAAATGGAATTATTTTTAGTGGCCCAGCGGGTCGCCAAGGCAGCTTTCGGGTGAATGGACTGTTTTGGTACTCATGGTACTAGTCTCTCAGCGCTGGACATGGGACATGTAATCAGGGAAGAGTTCTGTTGGTCCTCTGTATCTTAATACCTACTTTAAACTAATTTCAGATTCGTTTAGTGACCACTATACGCACTTTGAAAGAGTTGTGAAGGCTCTTCTGATAAATGCTTTCGACCAGTCTTTCCTGGGAACTTTGTATGGTAAGTTAATATAAATGTGACACTTCTTTTCTTTTTTTAAAAAACCTTTACAACTAGATGAAACAAAACCAAGACAAACCATTCTTAAAGCCTTCTAATTGTTCCTTCTAGGATAAAATATACCAAAAAAATGCACTCATATAAAAAGTTGATAGTGTTTATTACTTGAGATGTGTAGATGGTAAGTACGTTGATAGGTCCTTTCTACCCTAAAGAGTTTGCAGTGAATTTGAGGCTATGAGACACACACTCCGAGAACAGGTTCTTCATTCTGCTCTCCCGCTTCACTAAGTCCTTTGAATCTTACAGATACATGCTGTTTTATGCTTTGTACCTCAGTCATGTCTCTTTCTCAGAACTCAGTTCCTTTTCACTACAGATTGTCTAGGTGAATGAAAACATCTCTTCTGTGAAAGCTATCTATGACCACCTGTAGTGATACTTCTCACTCCCCCCTCAGCACCACCATCATTCTGAGTAGGTTGTACTCATGTGACTTCTTGTAATGCACTGAAATGTCTTTATACTTTCTTCCCTTACTAGAGTGTGACAAATTAAACTTTTAGTTGAGTTTAACACAGAAACTCTCACGGAGTAGACTGTACATGTTGTGTTGAATATCTGAGCACCTAAATAAGATCTTAATCACAAATTATAGAACACATATTTCTTGAATGCCTTCTATGGGCCAGGCATTGTTTGATGACTGGTGAAGTAGTCATGGCCTTGAGATACTCTATTTTTACCTTTTGTTGCTTAAAGTCTAATCAGACAGACCGGGAGTCCACAAATGTATAACATAATATATGAAACAAACTAGTTAAAGTTCTTCTTGGTAAAAACAAAATAGGGTAAGGAGTTGGAGTTGGACAGTAATAAGAGAAGCTAATGTCTATTAGATGATTGATAGATAGATAGATAGATGATAGATAGATAGATAGATAGATAGATAGATAGATAGATACCTATCATCAAACATTCTTTGACCAATCTATCATTCATATACATGTAATTATATGAATGACAGATTGGTCAAAGAATGTTTCTGAGGAAGTAAGTTTAGGACATAAACCTGAATGAGGTAAAGGAAGAAGGAATCTAGGAGCACAGCAAGTGTTAAGACCCTTAGGAAAGAATAAGCTTGGTACATTCAAAAACAACTCAGCGGGCCTGTGTGTCTGTAGTAGAATTAGTTGGTGGAGAGGGAAGAAGACATGAGTTCAGAGGAGTAGGCGGTAGGTAGAAGGGCTTTTAATTCGTGGTACAGTGTTTGTGTAAACAGAGAATATAGTACTAATAAGTCAGAAAAGCAGAAGTGAGCATAGCATGCTATGAGGAAGTGAGGAAGAAGACAAGCCAGGAAACTCAGGTGTGTTGGCAGAGGTTACTACTGGATCTGTGGGATGGAGCTAGCTCTAGGCGGCCTTGAACTACTCAGAAATGGGGGCTTGTGTGGTTAATCCAGATCAGGTTATAAGGGAGAGTTAAAGGTAATTTTGGAAAGAGTTTTCTTGTGACTCTTCATTATCAGAAAATAAGGTGAGTTTGATGCTCACAAGGAGAATGGCAGACGCTTTTTACCCTGTTTACTTTCTCTTCTACTTCTGGAAAATGAAGTGTTTATGTCACTAATTTTTTTTTTAATTTAAAATATTTTCACCCAAACAATTGTCTTTATAAAACTATGAGATACTTAAGTATTCAGTTGATTCAACATTTCACATGAACAGAGTGATTATTTCTATTGTTTTTGTTCATTCTATGACAGATGGCACCAGGCAAAAATCATATGCAAAAGATATGTTAACATCTCTTGATTATCTGGATAATCGCTTTATTCAACCCCGTCTAGAGAGTTTAGTCTCTAGAAGTCGATGGAGAGAGCAATATAAGGTATTCAGTTTGTTTTTGAATCTCTGGTGAGGACATGGGGATTGTGGACCTCCCAAGATTTCAATATCCAGCCAAATGAATAATTTTCTGAAGTACTGCTGTTTCTGTTAGACAGTTAGTGTATTTTAATCTCTTCTAAAGGCTTTTATTGTTTAAGATATGCAACATATGCCTTTAATTAGACAGTTTGAATTTTTTTTTTTTTTTGGTCTTTTTGAGACAGAGTCTCCCTGTAGCCCCAGCTGTCCTGGAACTCACTGTGTAGACCAGGCTGGCCTTGAACTCACAGAGATCCCCCTGCCTCTGCCTCCCAAGTGCTGGGACAAAAGGCTTGCACCACCACACCTGTCTTGAAATAATTTTAAATCATCTCTGAGGGCCTAGCTTATCTTCTAAAATAAAATTGTCTTACAAGATTTGTGTGTGTGTGTGTGTGTGTGTGTGTGTGTGGACAAGTGTATTGTCTGCATGTATGTGAGTGCACCCATGTGCAGAGGTCAGAAGAGAGCTTCGGATTCCCCTGCAGCAGGAATTAAGGATGGTTCTTAGCTGCCATGTGGGTGCTGGGAATCGAACCCGGCTCCTCTGCAAGAGCAGTCAGTGCTCTTAACTGCTGAGCCATCTCTCCAGCCCCAAGATTTGTTTTTTTGAGAGAAGGCAGTTCCATAGACAAAGAAGTTTGAAAAATACTGGGTTTTAACTTAAACTGATTTCTTTATTGGAATACATTTTCTAGAGCATTAATTTGTGAATTTATACTACAAAACTTTAAGATGGGATTTAGTGTGCAATACTTCCCAAATTTGTGTGTCCTGTGATGTTTTTAATATTTGTTATTTTGTGTGTGTGTGTGTGTGTGTGTGTGTGCATGCTATGGTACAGTATATTTGAAGAACAGCTTTCAGGAGTTGGTTTTCTCCTTGTGTTGAGAGTCCCAGGGGTCAAACTCAAGTCATCAGGGTTATGTGGCAAATACCTTTATCCACTGAGCCATCTAGCCAGCCTCCCTTTAGAGAGTTTTATTTTTATAAAGCAGTATGAAAAATATTTCTCTAGATTTGTATTTTATTATCTCTAATGAGATAATAGAGGATGTACTATATGATTTTTAGGGGCACCTCCTACCTCTACATTCTGTATTCTAATGATTAACAAGAGGAAAATGGTAGATAGATAATAAAATTCAAATTCCTTAAAATCACTCTAGCACTTTACTATCTCATCTACTCCAGAAAGCTTGATTTCATCCAATATCTGTTCAACCTGAATTAAGCCTGATAATAAATTAGCTGTAGTTGGTTAGTTTTAAGAGACAATCTTGGGATTACAAGGTTACATGATTTCAAGTTCAAGATACGTTTGAGATTAGAGCTACCATATGTTTCCTTTTATTTGGAGATTTATAATTCTGCTGGACCCCCAGTTTATTCTTCAAATGTGAAAAAAATATTCATAAAAACCCCAGCATAGAACTGGGGACATTCCAAACCTTAGCCAAGGAACTATTGGCAGCTGATTACTGCTGGGTGAGGGAGAGTAGATCTTCTCTAAGGGAGGGACTCAAGACAGGCTGACTAGACCCCAGTGGATGAACTTGCACTGAGGGACATCTGGGTATACTAACTTGACTTAATAGGCTTTAATATATATGAGAGAATGTGTGAAATCCAATGGTGAGGTACAGGGGGTATAGATGGAGGAAGGGGTATGATTAAGATGTTTTGTAGTAAATGCACAAAAATTCAATAAAATTCATCTATTTTTAAGGGAAATGTGTATTTGAGATAAAATGCATAACATAAAATTATCATCATATGGCATATTGTCTTTAATGGAAAAATGTTAGAATTTTATAGAACATTTAACCTTGCCAAATAATTGACATATTTATGTAAATATTTACATGTAAAATATTTTATTTAATCCTCAAAATAACCCCATAAGGAAGTTACAATTGAGGAACATGTAACTCAGAAGAAGTAATATAAGGTTTCTGAGGTAGTAATTAGGCCAGTATTGAAGAGAGTCTCAAAGACCTTCAAAATCAATACTTCTCTAGTATAGTATGCTCTACTGTGCTACACTGACTGTGCTACACTCTACTTCACTGACAGGTTGTAGTGAATCTGGATAACTCATGTTAAATAACTAAGATGCACGAAATTATGAGCCATCTATGATTCAGTAAGATCTTAGGATGCACTGAGTTATACTGTAAAAGATAGAGAAGTAATGTGAAAAATTTCACTAATTTAATCCAACAAAGTCTATATTTCACTTACATGTCGAGTGTCCTCTACTCACTATAGTCAGTCAACAAACCAAGCTGATTGAGTTTCCATCTCACTGTGCTTCTCCAATACCATAGCAGGAGGAAAGGAAGGTAGTTAGTCATGATTCAGTCTGGGTTTTAGCCTGTGGATGTGTCATGAAGTATGAGAAATGTGACAGATAAATTAAAACCAGCATTGTGGCTCATACAATACAAATGGGATCAGTGTATTGGAATCTTAGTTACCATCAGACTGGTGTAGGGTGTGAATGTGGATTAGTATTGGTTACTTTACTTTTTTTTTTTTTTTCTGCCTTTTTTGAGACAGGGTCTCCTTGTAGCCCCAGCTGTCCTGGAACTCACTTGTTGCTGTGATAAAATTCCATGAGCAAGGCAACTTATAGAAGGAAGAGTTTATTTGGCTTATGGCTCCAGAGGGGTAGGAATTCATTATGGCAGGAGAGGATGGTAGGAGGCAGCCAGAGAAGAAAGCTGAGAGTTCACATCTTCAAGTACATGCAGTAAGCAGAAGGAAAGAAACTAGAAATGGGCCTGGGCTATGAACTCTCGAAACTACCCCCAGTGATGTGCTCCCTCCAGCAAGACTGCACCTCTTAAACCTCTGCAAACAGTGCCACCCACTGGGGCAAAGTGTTCAAATACCTGGAGCCTATTGGAGATTCTTATGCAAACCACCACAATTAGTAACTGCAAAGAATATGCCCACTGTACACAGTTTAAGCATTAGGTAAAAGCCTAATCTGTACTACTAATTAGAGCAGTAGCATCTAGCATGGGCCCAGTGTATGAACAGAGATACTCAGATGTGAGGAACTTCATAGCTAATAAGTTTATTTATACAGGCCACATGTTTTCGCACTTGTTCCCTCATTGATAATCTACTTTATTTAGATGGCTCACCAGTACTGGGCAGTCTTAATTCCGCTGTGTTTATTTTCATAAGACTAGCAGTTAAATACAAATGGATTAAATTATTTCTAGAATATTTTGTGGAAAACAGAACTCATGCATTGAAGAATGGATGTGATTTTTTCCAAGTTTTAACTAACTTAAATGAAATTTTCTTATCCTGGATTTTTGTTGCTCATTTTCCTACTTTTACTTGCCATCTTATTAATGCTAATTAGAGATGAGACTATGGGAAAAAGTAAATCAAAGCCCATCAGAAACATTACTTAGTAGTAATTTATAAATTTGAGAAAGGGAGAAATGCAACTAATTGTTTTTCCTTATCTGATTTTTAATGATGAAGGTTAAAATTCATTTTTTAAGTTTAAGGATACTTCTTAAAAGAAATATCATGTGTTTTGAGCTTAGATCTCTTTCCAGTGATTTCTAAGATGAATTTTAATTTGGTTAAATTCTGATTTTATTTAATTTTAATCTTCACTTTTTAAAACCTTTTCAGGAGCAGGTTGAAAGTCATTTTAATTTAAGAATCCGGTCGAAGAATCCTGAACACTGTTCCTGCCATGCTTGTGGATTGCATCGCCATTGTAAATATTCAGTGCATCTGTCTGGAAAATTATATGACGAGAGAACTATGGAGACAGATGATTTCATGTCACATGACCAGCAGGTACTTTTTTTCTCTAATTTCAGTTTTCATTATTTAGAAATGTTTGGTTTTCCCCTGAGTAATTTTCAAAAACAGAGAGCACTGCGAGGGAGAGCACTACAGGGGAAGGAGTGCAAGGAGGAAGGGTGCTGCTAGTCTTCCTTCCTTTCTCTTTTCCTCTTCTCTTTTTTTGTGGAACTGAGGTTGAACCCAGTAACTCAGCATGCTAGCCAGTGCTCCACTGAGTCACATACTCAACCCCAGGGTATAATTTTTGAATGTGAAAAATATGTTTTATGGCATATTTCATTCCAAATTCAGTGAGATAAAACCAGTGCATATTCTCAGCCCCTGCAGATTGTAGGGCGGGATGTACAGGATGACAATAGTCCCTGGGGCAGGAGGAAAAGGAAAAACCCTTTAAAGTTCAAAGAAGTTGATCCAAGTGGAAAACTCTCAGGACACAGAGTCTACCAAATTGGTAGTCTATAGGTAAATAATTGAAGATGCTTTCTGTTCTACCATGCCGTAAGAGAATTCAGAGAACACTGTGCTTTGATTTAGACTACTTCAATTTGGAGCAATTACTTCCTGATTAATATGCTGTTTAAATTTGATAAATCTCAAGAATAAGTGATCGATAGACCAGAGCAGGACCACCTCACATGAACTCATAAAAAGTACAAATGCTGGGGCTGGAGGGATGGCTCAGGGTTTAAGAACACTGACTACTTTTGCAGAGGACCCAGGTTTGACTCCCAGCACCCACATGGCAGCTGCGAACCATCCCTAACTCCAGTTCCATGGGAATCCAAAGCCTTCTGACCTCCTCGGCACTACACAACACGGGTGCACTCACATACATGCAGGTGACACACTCATACACATAAAATTAAAAAAATAATAAATAAAATATTTTTTAAAGTACAAATGCTGTTTGTGTTTCTTGCTCTATAAGAATTCTGCATTTGTATTGTGGGTGTCATCTTGTGAGTATGCAAATACTTGGAGGATGCGTGCTTTTAGAGAGGTAAAGACCCAAAGCTGTCTCTAAAGCTTCCATCATCAAAGTTGAGGAAATGTGACTTATTGGGAAGTATGATTCATGAGTACTATTGGACAATAATTGACCAGATCCTTCTAAGCCATACAATAAAGTTTGGAGAAGTTACTCTGAAATTTTACCACAAGGTGGCTAGAGAGAATCTGCTCATCGGTTAAGGGCACTTGTTGCTCTTGCAGAGAACCCAGATTTGTTACTCAACACCCACATGAGGACTCACAATCACTTATAGCTCCAGCTCTAGGCCCTTTTCTGGCTTTCACTGGCTTCTGCACATATGTGGTGCACACATACATACATGCACACATAAAATAAAATTTTAAGGGGCTAAAGAAATGGCTCAGTGGTTTAGAGCACTGGCTCTCTTGCAGAGGACATGGGTTCAATTCCCAGCACCCACATGGCAGCTAACCACTGTCTATAACTCCAGTTCCAGGGGATCAGATGCCCTCTTCTGACCTCTGTGGGCACCACACAATGTGGGTGCACCTACCTACATATAGGCATTGCACTCTTATACATAAAATAAAAATAATAAAATATTTTAAAAATAAAATTTTTTAAATGTTATTCATGGATAATAAATTCAGAATTGGTATTTAATATTTGGCAAATTACTATAAAACATAGTTCTGTTCTCAACATAGTATATGTAAGTTTCATTTAAAAGATGATGTGTGATTTCTGTGTGATACCTAGAATCCTAGCGAAACTGATTGAATACTTCAAGAACAGGATACTGTTGTATAGATCAACAGTCATTGCTGTATACAGCTATCAGTGCTTAATGTTGGTGCAAGAGTTTCACTTATAGCTGTTGCTCTTAGTTAGAAAATTACCATCCAGCCATGTTAACATTTGAACATGCCATACTTTGCATGATTCTTCTGCTTTTTTCTGACTTACAAGCAGCTTCTTCCTTCCTAACTCTGGGTAAGTCTATTTTCAGACTTACTTCAAGAATCACCAACTTGAGAGGCTGGGGAGATATCGCAGGCATTAGAGTGCTTGCCGTGCAAGAAAGAGACTGAGTTAAGAAAAGCTGAGCATAGTAGCATGCCTAGCCTTAATAGAAAGTTCCGGGTTGGTGAGAGATGCTGTCAACGAAAGAAAAAGAGAAAAGGTAGATGGAGTCTGAGAAATAATGCTTGAAGTTGCCCCCTGGCTTCCACATACACATGCACATAAACGCACACACACACACACACACACACACACCCCTTCTTGAGCAGTCTTCTCTCTACATTGGTTAGATGCCCCTCTTCACTGACATTTTGATAGCATCCAAGGCACAGCACTTGTTGTGTTGTTTTAGAATCATTTATCTTTCAAGACTGTGCAGGTGCTACGCCTTTCATTTCCTAGCTCTAGGACCTAGCCCAGTACTTAAGGCATAGCAGGTGCCCCCAGTTTTTGTTGACTGCCTGTGTAAATAAGGAATCATTTGTATATTTTAACAAAATTTAAAATGTATTTATTCTGTCTTTAAATCCTAAAAGTCAGAAATGTTATATAGTCATTGCTCTGTATTATTCACTCCATATTTAAGATAATGACATTTATTTCTCAACTTAGGTATTTATTGTTGGCAGAATTTGTGCTAATCGTACTAGAATTTATCATATACTGAAACATTTTAAATTCAAACTCTATCAAGAATGTTGTTCCATTGCAAGAAAAGAAGCAGCTGAAGATGAACAGGTTAAAGAAACAGTGGAAAGAGTCTTCAGTCAGTCAAAAGAACGTGGCTGGATTAAAAAGGTAGGACTGAAGACATCTCAGTCTGCAGCATCTGGAAGTTTAATATCGGTTGGCAGTTGAAGGCCGTGAAAGTTAAGAGAATCCCTCCCTGCCTTTCTGTTTTCTGGCCTACCTGTCCATTCATGCTTACCATTGCTCTACTCTGAATAGATGCCCTGAGGTTCCCAGAACCCAATCACCTCATCAGATATATTTTATTAAACAGATGCTAAGCCTAAGGAAGCACCCTCGTCCTTTCTCTTCCCCTTGTCTTGGTTACTTTTCCTGTGGCTGTGATAAAATACCTTGACAAAAGCAAAGCAAGAGAAAAGTGGCTCACAGTTCACTGGTACAGTCTGCTATGGCAGGGTGGTCCTGATGGCAGGACCGTGAGGCAAAGTCAGGAAACAGAGAGATGAATGCTCGTGCTCAGCTAGCTTTCTCCTTTCTATGCTGCCCAGGACCCACGCCCAGGGAATGGTCTCATCTCTTTGAGGTTGGGTCTCCCCACATCAGCTAACCTAATCTAGATAATCCCTTATAGGCATTCCCAGAGGCTTGTCTCCTAGGTGACTCTAGAGCCTATCACGTTATAACCTATAATCTGTGTTAACCCTGACATCCCCATTTGTTCATTGGCAGAGCAGAGGACTCACCTTTGTCTGCTTCCTGTTCTTTAGAACAGTTCTTGTGACCTGAGGGTGAAGAAGCCTTTGGTGCCAGTCTGAGGAAAAGATCTCGGCTGCTGGTTCTAATACCACCCATGTCCTTTTCATGAGGACATGTGGCTGAGCAGTTGGCACTGTAACTGAAGATGAAGAGGAGTGCAGAGGCTTCAGGCCACATCACTAGTGGACTTTGAGTCCCCATACCCTGCTGATCACTAAATGTGATATCAGGAATAAAGTGAAGTTTGAAAAGTGCATTGGAGTCCATAAGCTTTCCTGACCCCTCAGCATCTCTGCTATACTCACAGAGCTTTTAAAATTTTTCATGGTGCATGGAAAGAATGATAATGCAGTAGCAGTTTTCTCAAACAACTCTTGATTCCATGGATGCAGAAGGAAGACCACATAAAAGTTACTCAGGCCACTCAAATCAGTGCTATATTTAATCTTACAAAAAGAAAAGAGAAAGAGCCTGACTTGAGATCTACTGCCTGGGTTATGTAGGGAAACGGGCAAGAGCAAAAGGCAGGCAAGAGAACAGAGCAGATATGCTTATAAGCCACGATCCAGAAAAGGAAAACAGATCACAGGAATATCTCAGGGTACATCATGTTGACTGGAGGTATCCCAGTGCAGTGAATGACGCCACGGTTGTATTCTCTCCCACTTCGAACCACCGCCCTGTGATCTTGCCTACTGACCTTGAGTCTTAACCTTTCTCTCTCCTCAAGTTTCCATGTTTCACTTTGCCTCTCCTCCTGCTCCAGATGCTCCTTCCACCACACTGTTCTGTGTTTTCCATTAGAGACCGTCACGTAGCTAGTAACTCTGTCTTCATTTTCCTAGACTTTAAATTCTTTTGTAAATTTTATTATTTTTATTTTATGTGTATGTATGTATTGCCTGCATGTAGGTAAGTGCACCTGTGTCATGCAGTGCCCACAGAGGACAGAAGAGGATGTCAGATCCCCTGGAACTGGAATTACGGACAGTTAGCTGCCATGTGGGTGCTGGGATTCGAATCCAGGTTTTCTGATAGAACATCCAGTGTTCTTAACCAGCTGAGCCATCTCTCCAGCCCAACTTTAAATTCTTAAGTGCTTTTGATAATTTAGGAAATTCAAACCCTCTAGTGGAATCAGAAAAATCTGTTTATCTCCCAGAACTGTTTATATCCCTTTCCCCTTTTCTTGCGGTACCTGGAATTGAACTCGGTGCCTTGTGCATGTGAGGTGGGTGCTGTACCACTGAGCTACACCTCCAGCTTGATGTACTACTTTAACTAAAGATTGCCCTAGATATACAAAAATAATTCTGCAAGTATTGTATGTAATAATTATATATATTTCTGCGTGGGTGCCTTTAAACTTCTTGCAGTGAGAACAAAAAGGATTTCCAAATTATGTACTTTAGAGGAAGCGTAGCAAAGCTTTGGATAATAGATGGAATATGAAATTAAAATATTCTTAAGGAAAGAAAGCCAAATTATATTCTCCATTAAAAGTGACATTTAACATTAGCCATTAAAAGCATTTCAAGATATAGGTATAGATCGGTGAGCACGTTTGTCACATAAAAGCAAAGAGCTTTTTTTTTTTTTTTTTGAGGCAGGGTCTTCCTGTAGCCCCAGCTGGCCTGGAATTCCTATGTAGACCAGGCTGGCCTCTGTCACAGAGATCCACCTGCCCCTGCCTCCCGAGTGTTGGGATTGAAAGTGTTTGCTACCATGCCTGGCATGTTTTTTTTTTTTTAGATTCTCTTCACTTAAGTTTTTTTTATATTGGAAATGATTTTTTATTGAATTTCCTGTTATACATCTTAATCATATTTAGACCTTCTCCCCATTCTGCACACTCCTATGGCCCCCGCCTCGCCGAATTTCATGCATTCTGTCATGTTGAGGCCTGTTGAGTCAAGTTTGTGTCCCCAGCTGTCCCTGGGTATGAATCCATCCACTGGAAGCTTGGTCAGTCTCTGGCATCACTTCCCTAAAGAAAACCAGCTCTCTTCACCCAGTAGCGATCAGCTGCCAACAGTTCCTCAGCTAAGGTTGGGCGCTTACTCATCCCAGTTCTACACTGGGGCTTTATCTGTGCAGTTTGCATTGTGCATGTTGTCACCATTGCTGTAAGTTCATATGACCAAGTTCCAGAGGCTGGAAAACCCTTGTTTCCTTGTGATTATCTACCATCCCTGGCTCTTACAGTCTTTCTGCCCTCTCTTTCAAAATAGTTCCTGAGCCCTGGGTGGCTGAGGTTTAATACAGGAGTCTTATCCAGGGACATGCACTCTGCAGTTTCTTATTCTCTATACATTTCAGCCAGTTGTGGCTTTCTGTGTTAATGACCATCTGTAGCATAAGTAAACTTCCTGGTGAGAGTTGAGAGATGCATCAGTATTCTCTCTGCCCCATTTCACTATGTTTCCCGCACTTAGGTGTGGAGGTTACAGTTGTGTGTGACCAGTTGTGGAACTCTGCAGTAGTCTCTGTCTGTTACAAAAAGAAGCTCTTTTGATCAGTGGTGGGAGTATACTTGCCTGTAAATATAAGGAGTCATATTTAGCTTACAATAAGAAATTACATCTGTCTAGGGATTGACAGATTTAGGGTTTTGTCTAGGATCTGTGACCTTTCCTGCCATGTATATTTGGCTCTGTTTGAAGTCCCAAACATGAGTTCCCTCCCATTGAGTGGCCTTTATGTCCAATTATTCAAGTGTTTATTGCCCCCCACCCCAAGATGAAAGTGCCACTACTGCACCAATAGAGATAGTTTGCTGCACTGGCCATTGTTTTGGTTGTTACGTTTTACAGCTAGGTAGGACCATTGATGGGTTTTCTCCCATGACAGCTTATAGAGCTTCCTCTGATACTATGAGAGGTAGTCTTCAGGGAGGAGACTTCCAGGTCCATTCTAGCTCCATTGCTCCAAATCCTGTGTAAGAAGTATGTCTTGTCTTCAGCAATAGGGTCTTATGTTCAAGTTCATATACTTTTTCCTAGAAACCAGGAATTCTATATTCAGTGTAAACTCTTGCATAGCTTTTTGTGTTTTGATGAAATCCCAAAATTTCTCAAACGTTGTTGTCTTTACTCTCTTTGGATGGTTTTGAATGGTAGCACTGTGTGTGTTTCTGACACCTGCAGTTCTTTGACTGCAGTCAGACGTGTCCCTCATAGAGTACCTGAACTCTGCTATTTGAGTGCCCATCTCGGTGGTTCTTTCTATTCCAATCTCCCAGTATGTCAAACTCTTCTTTTGTATTATACAAACTGTTGTATCTCTGCTTCCTGCTTGAGTATCACACGTTGCTTTCTGTTACCTGTCCCTTCTCTTCTAAATGTTTTTCTTCTCTTATCTCAGGATACCTACCAACTAAATATCATTTCTGTTCTTCCTCCTATTCATCATGCTAGGATACTGTTTTCAGCCCCATAGTAAAGGAATAGAAGTAACCTGAATAGAAAAAAACACATAGTAAATTATAATAAACTCAAAATAGATTAACATAGTATAGATGTCATTCTAAAATACTCTGATATGCCTAACATGTTTCTACATTAAGAATAAAGTATATCTGAGACTGGGAAGTAAACAACAGGATTGTTGGGATTGGTTGATAGAAATATGGATACCAGGAAGAGAAGATAGTTATAACAATAGGCTTATCAAGTCAGGCAGTTGGGGAGACAGCAAAGGGAGTAAAGTGCATAAGAACTTGTAGTCAGTCCCCAACATCCACTTAAAAAGAAAACAGGTGTATGAAGTGTGTCTGAAATGCCCAGTATGGGGAGCTGTTATTTGTGTAACAGCTCTTAGTACTATTGAGATAAATTTTTAATTTTCCAAAACAAGCTTTATAAAGATAAACTAACAAGCATAGAAGCAGCCAGACTTTTAAAGTATAGGTTTCTGGTCCTAAAGTGCTTTATTTATATTTAATAAAATAAAATAAATCTTTACGTGCCTATAACAATAGATTATTACCTGCTGTCCTTTTCTTCTTTCCTGAGGAGGCGCTGAAGTCAGATCCTGAGGATGGAAGATGGGTGTCATGCCCACCCATCCACTGCCCACATTCCCTTCCACGTCCCCCTGTCGTCACCAAAGTCCAATTATCCAGATCTTCTCTCATTCCAGAGCTCATAAACCAAGTCAGAAACCATTAAGTAGCTTAATGTCCTCCACTGAAGTAAACACTGTGAACTCATGTGTCTTTTGCTTCTCTAACCTGCCTAGGAGAACCCTGCCCGCCATTATTGTCTTAGCTTGAAATCTCAGTCACCCTCAACTCATCTCTTAATTTGTTCCACACAGCACTCTGTCCTCTCTTCTCACTGGTATCTCTCAAGTCTGAGTCCTCATCACCTACTGTGTTACTGTGGGTTCATAATTCATTGCCAAACTATTTTAGAATGGCTAACCAGTTCTCTTAAAATATCCATCAAATTCTCGTTACTCCCTGCTCTCTGCTCCTTCTGTCACCTGGCAGATCATTGCCCAACCCTGCAACTGACCATTTCTGATTAAATCCCATCCTTCCTTCTCATATCATGTTGGATTAACAGTCAACCTCCTAGAAAAAAAGTTTTGCCACTTTTTGCCTATGAAATCTTGTTGTCCAAAACAGCTTAAATGTCACTCTTTCCTGGTCACTGCAGCTAACCATGACTTTACTTCGAGCCCTCCTAACAGGGTCTGTACTTTGTGTTACTGCTTGTCATTAGTATGGCACTGATGAACCCTGTTCCTCTTAGGGATAGGGAAAGTGTCTTTTTAAATTCCACATCTAGTCATTAGTACAGTATCTTTTATATACATATATATGTTCCACAAATTTGTGTTGAATTAGAAATTAAATGATTACATTTCTACTGTGATTTACAATTTTAATTTATAGTGGTTATGAAATTAATAATGTTATTTGACTTCTTTCCATTGATTTCTAGGTTAGAAATGCTTATTTGAAATAGAGCTTCTATTTATAATTAAATGATTTTTGTTCACAGTTTCCATTTCAATGTTTATTGTCAGTACTTTTAAAAAGCCTAGCTTATTTGATGCTTTGAGTAAAATAACTACTTTTCCATTTTGTATGCAGAAATATGACCAACTTCAAGAACATCTCAATTCTGCGGATTATTTTCAGGATGAGAAGTTTGACTGAATTATATCCCATTTCCTTCAGAGAAGATTTTATAAATTCCTGTAAATGTAACAATCATGAGTCATGTTTCTTTGTATCATGTGACATATGGATTGTATATTATGTGTATCTTCATGACTAAATAAATATTTACATGTTGATCTAAATTCGCATGAAATGTCACTGTATGGTCTAATACAACTTTTATCTATGTACATGGAAAACATAGCCCTATGATTTTAACGTTCATGAATGTATTTTAAATGTAGGTAACAATGCCTCATGAGCATCAAGTGAATGAGCTGCTATGTCCGATCAGTTTAGTAGAGATATGCTGTATTTAAAATGTATTCAAACTGACCTGGAGATGGTTCATTCCACATAGTATTTGCCTTACAAGCACGAGGTCCTGAGTCAATCCTCAGAATCGTGGCTTTTTTTTTTTTTTTTTTTTAAAGCAAGGCCTGGAGACATGTACTTGGAATCTGAACACCGTCTGTAACTCCAATTCCAGGGGATCCAACACTTTCTTCTGACCTACACTCCTACACATAAAAAATAAAAATAATAACATTTTTAAAAAAGAATGACACCCAAGGTCATCCTGTGACTGCCATGTGCACACGCATGCACACACACATATGTGCAGATGCACACACGCACCTGCATGTATGCTATATATATGCATGTATATGCGTATATACTCATGCCTATATGTACTTATTGTTGCATCCTTTGGCAGTATTAAACACCACTGATAAATGTCTCATGTCTGCACAATCTGGGAGCCATGGAAGAAGCCTCAGACTGTCCATTCCGTCTCCTCACCTCAGAATCAGACCATAGCTTATCCACTCCAGTGGAGGACTTCTGTTTTCTAAGGATTCCCTTATAAATAGATGTCAGGTGTCCCCCAGAGTCTTGGAAGTCCTCACATTCAAGAAAAATTTCATGATGCATGTTTTCATTCTTTATAATGTTCTTGTGTCTTTCCAGTTTTATCTAGAAGCTGTTAATGATTGAGATGTATTTTATTTTTACTCATAATTTTTATGTAAACATACATTTATATTCCAGTCTGGATATCTTAGAGACAAGTTCCACCAAAGACGCTTTAAAAGCATATTTTTGTGCCTACGTTACTTTGCACATCTAGATTTTTTCCATAATACAATAAAGTCAAACGGTTACATAGTAAACAAATGGACTCTGTGTATTCTCTATCTTTAATTCTTAAAGGTGGTGTTCTTGTAAGATCTATTCTCTGGAGTTTTGTACCTTTTCCTTACTGAAAGTGTTGCCGAACTTAGCTAACTTCATCCATTATGTGATTCATGGTGTGGACCTCAGTGTGTACATTACAGAAAACTACATATTATCAACTCCTCACATGGAGATGAGTTAACATTTTCTGTAGTATGTTTCCTATAATTTTTCCCTCTTGTTCTTTAAGGCCAACTCATACAGAAACACCCAAAAAGTGTCAAGGATGCTGAGTGTCCTAGTTTGCTTTTAATTTCTATGACAAAACACTCTGCCCAATACCAACTTGGGGAGAAATGGGTATATTTGGCTTACATCTCCTGGGTCACAGTTCATCAGGAGGGAGCTCAAGGTGTTAAGGGCAGGAACCTGGAGGCAGGGACTGGAACACAGGCCATGGAGGAATGCTGCTCACAGGCTTGCTCCCCTGGCCTACACTCAAACTGCTTTGTTACACAATACAGGCCCACCTGCCCAGGGGTGGCACCACCCACAGTGGGCTGGGCCCTCACACTCACTCAACAATCAAGAAAATGCCCCACAAACATGACCACAGGCCAGTCCAATGGAGGCACTTCCCCAGCTGAGGCTCTCTCAACCCAGGTATGCCAAGTTGACAACTAAAGTTATCCAGCATACTAAGACAGATGTTTAATGAGGAGAGCATACATAGTTTTCAAGTGTGAACTGTCTGTATTCATATTTCTCTGACACATGGAGAAATATTCCTTAACAGTTCAGAGAAAGAAATGAAGACATGGTCAAAGGTGAAGATGAAAAGAGGGAGGGGGACAGGAGAGCAAGTAGAGTCAGGGTTCAAGACCATTGGTGACTTGTACTGAAGAAGACAGAGGAGGAGGGAAGAGAATGATCCCTACGGTGTGTCTAGAACCTGGGAAGCATCGCTACCTACATGTGATTCACTCGTACTAACTGTAAAGGAAAATGGTTCTAACCAAGAAGTTTGACAATCTTTATTTTCATAACATGCAGTTAATTTGTAAGGTGAAAGCACTAGTAATTTCAGGGATTTGTGACGGTAGCTGACCCGGTTCCTAAGTCAGCCCACTAAGGATTTGAAGCACTTTCCTAATAAGAGCGACATTATTGATCAAAATGTTTGCAGGTCTCAAGTCTGAAGTTGCTACAGCCAAATGTGGTACTCCAGGAGGTGTTTGAAGCCAAGGATCTTTGAGGTGTTTGCTAACAGCGAAAGAATTGGTGAAAGTTACATGCTATAGTGAAAAATAGCATGAACCAAGGAACCAAAAGAAAGCAAGCTTTAAGACGATAAATATAGAGCCGAAATAAAAATAGAATTAACCATAAATATAGAGCTGAAACAAAAATAGAATTAACCATTTCTAGTCTTAGACATTGTATTTTATCACCGTGATCAATGTTGTTTCAATAATAGCACTAAAATTAGCTTCAAGCTTCTGTGTCTCCCAGGGCATTACACATGACTGAACTTTCTGGTTGTGAACAGTTAGTACCATGGCATTAGTGACGTTGGTGTTAGGTAGCTGTGGGTAGCAGAGATGCTGAGAAGGAAATAGGCCAAAGTAAAATATGCTTGCAATAATTCATAGGGTTAGACAGAGGCTAGAGGATTATGAGAGAGGACACAAGCCAGACAAGAAGAATTAGGGGAAAAAGAAATGACTCTTTTATAGGCAAGACTCTTTTAACTCCTGACTTGTATGTGCTCACTACTCCTTTGAGAGTGCTATAGGAGTGCTGAGACTCCAGAGCATTGATTGAAGGATAGTTGCATCCCTTGAGCTGGGCCTGCCTGTGATCCCATCCACACTTGATATTAAGGCAGGAAACCCTAGGATTGAGAGAGCATGGGTTTGAAGAGAGTTCTGGTCTCATACATCCTAGTTACATGAAGTGGAACAAGTAATTTTGATAAGACTCGGTTACCTCATACGTGAGGAACCAGGTGAAGTTGGTAACAGTCCTCTAGGGTAGTTGGTGTATTAAGGGAGGCCATGGTTGGGATGTCTAAAGGTACATGTGTACAAGACACTCTAAAAGAGCATCCTATACCACTAGAGCATAGTGTGGAAGTCTGTTTCTTTAATAACTGCTTCCAAAGCTTTTAATGTATGTTCATGTCAAAAATATAAATGGATTTCTGTGTTAATCACCATCTGCTGCAACTCTGCTGAGAGTTGAGAGATGCATTAATCTATGGGTTTAACAGTAACTCATTCAGAGTCACTTTAATGCTATATCTATTTAGCAGAATAATAGTATTAGATTCTCCCCATGGCCTGTGGCCCATCTAGCCACATGTTCCTAGGCCTGATATCAATATCAGGTATCAGCTGTGTCTTATGAAGACCTTAACTCCAATTAGAAACTGGTTGGTCACTTCCATAATATTTGTGCCACTATTACACCAGAGGTCATGGCGTGCCAGGCCAGTTGTTGAAGCACAGGAATTTAGAGCAAGGTAAGGTTAATGATTAATTTTTCTCTCCTGGTAGTATGCATAGCACCTTCCAGCACTACGGAAGCTATCCGTAGAGATGAAGCTTTGATGTCAGCACCAGATTGATTTTTTCTTGTTTGTTACACAGTTCATGTATGTAGTGTCTACAGCAATAGGGTCTTAATGCAAAGTTCTGGTGGGTATCCAAGAGTAGGGGCCATAGCCGGTAGTATTTGAGTCTATGGGATCCCTGGTCAACAGCTTCAAAAGAAGTCATCCATCCCTGTCATTGGGCTTTTGCTTTGCTAGCCTTGGTGTCTGGAAGGGGCAATGTCCCCCTGTTACAAAGTAGCTCCTTTTAATCTGTTTATACTGAATATGTATATACTTTAAGCCACTCCTATAGTGGTAGATTTCCATTGTGCTTTTTCTAAAGGCCTTAGTTATCCCTCCCCATCCCTCCTCTGCTCTACTTTCCTATTCCGCACCCCATTTAACCATTTCTGTTCTATTTTTCCCCTTTCCCCTCCCATGAACATAGCCTCCCTCCTCCCCTTGGAACTTTGCTTCCTGATCCCTGGATTTTCCAGTTGAAACCAGTATCTAAGGATGCAAAGACAGTACCCAGCTATGAGAGAGAACATGTGATGTTTGTCTTTCTGAGTCTGGGTTACTTTACTCGGGATGATTGTTTCCAGCTCCATTTACCTGCGAATTTCATAATTTGGGGGGACTTTTTTTGACAGTAAATAATATTCCTTGTATAAATGTACCATACTTTCACAACCCATACGTCAGTTGTTGTACATCCAGGTTGTTTCCGTTTCCTGGCTATTGTGAAAAAGGCACAATGAACATGGATGAACAAGTATTTCTGTAGTAGATGCCCAACAGTGGTATGTCTGGGTCATATGGTAGATTGACTCCTAGCTTTCTGAGGAATGTCCACACTGGTTTCCATAGTAGCTGCACTAGTTTGCACTCCCACCAGCAGTGGATAAGAGTCCCCTTTCCCCACATCCTCTCCAGCACTGGTCCTTGTCGTTTTTTGAATCTTCGCCATTCTGAGTGGGGTAAGATAAAATCTCAAGGTTGTTTTAAGTGACCAATATACAGAGAATAAGAGACTGTAGAGTGATTATCCCTGAATTGGATACCCCTATCAAACTTCTGCCTCCAAAGGCTCAGGGATCATGGCAGAAGAGGCGATGGAAAGACTATAAGCCAGAGGTGGTGGATGGCCACAAGGAAACAGTTTTCCAGACAGCTGGTCAGTTACTCATATGAACTCACAGCAATGGTGACAGCAGGCACAAGTCCCAGATAAGCTCAAGCCAGACAAAATCCCAGCATAGATATGGGGAAGTGGGGAAGAAGCCCCAACCTAAGGAACTATTAAAAACCAATGGCTACTGGGAAGGAGAGAGTCAGCGCCTTTTAAGGATGTGATTCTTGGTATGTTAACCAGGCTCTGGTGGATGGATCCACACCAAAGGACACAAATTTGATCCTATAAGTAGATAAATTTATAATTTTAGATATTTATAAAATCTATAGGCTCTATAGGCCTTTATAATATATATATCTACTGACTCTATAGGCATATATATATATCAGAGTACATGAAATTGAGCAGGGGTATTAAGCAAGGTATGGATAACGCAGGGAATCTAAATATGACCAAAATACATTGTATAAAATTTTCAAAACTTTAAGATGTTCTTGACTTAAAAAAAAAAAATGGAGGAAGGAGGTGGCTGGTGAGATGGCTCAGGAGTAAAGTACTTGCCACACAAGCCCAATGACCTACGTTCGATCCCTGGAACACATGAAAAGTTGAAAATAGAGAACCACGTCCAGAAAGCTGTCCTTTGACCACATGTGCAACTCACATCATACACACAATTAAAAACTATAAATCAGAGTGTATTATAAAATGTATACATGTATTAAGACATCACACATCACACAGTATTGATAAATATGTACAGTTTTATGCATCAATTAAAAATATCTCACTTATTCCAGCTGGCCTGGAACTCGCTATGTAGACCAGACTGGCCTTGAACTCAGAGATCCACCTGCCTCTGCCTCCCAAGTGCTGGAACTAAAGGTATTCCACCAAAGACCTGTGTTGGCAAATCCTTTGGTCTTTGATTTCTTATTCCTAATTTTTCCCTCCTTAAACTTCATTGTATATAAATATTTTTATGTACACTGCTTCAAGTTATTTCTGAAAAAAAGTGTTAAAAATTGTCTCTCTTTGGAATAAAAAAATTTATCTAGCTCTGACAGACATCTATACATCATTTTAATTTTATAATTTATGTCAGGGCTATTGAATGAGCAAGTGTTTATAATTTAAATACTATATTTCTTTTATCAGATATGATTGCTAATTATAAAATATCCAGACTAATAGAAAATATTGCCTAATAAACACATCTTTAAAATCAAATATAAATTGTTCAGAAGCTCTTTATTTTTAATAATACCTTACGAGGAATCTCCATTCCTATTTTGCATCTCGGACAAAGATGGTTTCCCCTTTCTCCACATGAGTGGCTAGGAACTTAGCCTTAAGAGGAACAGGCAGAAGTATGTTCTCAAGAAAAGCTTTAAAGTTATACAGACTGAGAGTCACTAACGCAGAAGCCATCTGAAAAGCTTCAGAGCCCAATGTTCAGGCATGGTGACATGACAGAGTAGGGGAACTTTGTAGATTAGAGTTATTCAACTAGTGATATCTAAGCAAATATTCCCAAATCTGAAAAACTTTGAAACCTGAAACACTTTCGGTTCCCAGGGTTTTGAGCACGACACACCCCTGTATTCTGTCAGCATGTGCCTGAGCCCATTTCCAGGACTTGTGAAAAATAAAATGAGCTAAAGTGGGCCAGCCTGTGGGGAGCTGAACTGTGAATCAATTCAGTCTTGAAATGCATTGATTGTTCATTTTCTATCCATAGTTCATGTTGAAAAATGATCATATTGCTGAAATTCTGGAGTCTTTTAAATTAATGAAGCTCCGTTTCTAGATACCTCAGATCCAATGACTTCCAAAGTACAGCACCCAGTTCATTTTTGGTCCAGACTTCCAATGCTATGTTCATCTTAGTTTGTCTCCTATAATTGATAATGACAAGCAGAACTGTCTAATCGACAGTGGCTATTTTATAGATAGGATCATCTAAAGACGAGGGATCAAGGCCATTTGTGAAAAAAGAAAAACTTAGTTTTTGTAACATTCTTGAAACTCATGTGGCACACAGTATTTCATTATATACACAAAACCTGACAGCTGCCTTGTATTTGGCGAATTTTCAAAGAAAATGCCTTTTTGCCGTCTATGACTAGCCTTAGTAATAACATTGTCCTAGATTTTTTATCCCCACTGACTTGCTGGTGACCACCCAGCCTGACATCCTAACTCACTGGTCCCACACCTGCCTGTGCTTTAGGAGTTGGGGAAGAACTTCCTCACTAAGTCAATAAACTTTCATCCATGCCCGGCTCTTGTCAGAGTGCTCAGGGGTGTCCTTTACAGCATTCTGAAAATGAAAATCTTATCCTCAGGGGGGGGGTCGTCCTTCGGACCTGGAAGGGAAAACACATTCCCTGGCTGGGAATTTCTTCACCACTTAGAACTGGTGAAACAGTTGCGTAGAGACTGGGGAATTCCCCCAGTCTTCCCCAAGCATCACTGGGGGGAGGGAGGGCTGTAGAGCCTCAGCTCTGGGGTTTACCTCCTCAGCCACTGGGAGGCCCTCTGAGCTCCCCTTTCCCTGGTGCCTGGCTGCTTACTGGAGCAGTGGCACCAGCCTTCCACCAGGGAGCCAGAGCTCCAGCCCTCCCCCATCTGCAGCCTGCTGGCGCTCTCTCTCTCTCTCTCTCTCTCTCTCTCTCTCTCTCTCTCTCTCTCTCGCTCGCTCTCTCTCTCTCTCTCTCCCCCTCTCCTATCGCAGCACAATGAAAGCCTGTGTATCGCCGTGACTCCGAGTGTCAGCAAAGCGGCTCACAACAGACCAGAAAGAGAAAGGAAAATACGAGCTACTTTTCCCTTCTTTTTTCCATCTGTAGAGCGAAGGAATACAAGAGATAGAACCACATCGCTTTATTGCGAGTCCAAACCCTCAGAGCCACTGGCCGGGGACGGAATGTACAAAAGTGGACAGAAAAGTGGCTGGACATGACTCCGTGAAATTTTCTGGAAGTTTGTAAGTTTGATCATCGTTTGTAAATTACTCTCGGAAGAGTTTGTCTCTCTTGATCCTGTATTAGAACCGAACTGGGAGTGAGGGATAGAAGCGTGAGTGGGAAAGAAAAAAATGTGTTGCAGGAGCTCTCTCAGTAGCTAGTCACGTCAGATTGCGTTCATCTGAGACCGAGGAACCGTAAAGGGAATAAGAATGTTTACCGGTGATTGGATTAGCTTGAAGAAAGAGCATGATCCCAAGCCCAGTTTCTGCCATTGAGGACTGAAAAGCTGTCTCCTTTGGGCAGAAGGCGACGTCCTACAGCACCCCCCACTTCCCCAGGAGGGAAGACGCCAAGGACCGAGCAAGGGAGGAAATCGTTGACTTCAGGACTGTTGGGAAACAGCCCTGTTGTTTGTTTTATAACCCGAGGAAAAGTGAAGGCTGCTGTCTACAGAGACCATGGTAGAAACGGGTTTCTCTGCAGAAACACCCCCATAAACAATTTCTGAAGCTACTAGGTGAGGGGGGGCCCAGGGCTGTAGCAATACCTCTGTTGACTGCTTTTGCTAGGCATTTCTGACAATTGTCTCTGACAATCCCTGAATTCTTGAACTAACCCCCAGGCCCTGTGTTTACAAAGTACCTGGAGGCTCTTGTCAGCCTGGTTGGGGGTGGAGGGGGGGCGGATCTGCCTACTCCTTCCAACTTATCCAGAGCTATCGAATGTAATTAGAGTAAGTTGACAACGGTTTGTTTCCAACTTCTCTCTACTTGCCTTCTATTCTGTTTCCTCACCCTCGGGTTACTAACTCCCCTCCCCCACACCTTCCCCACAGCCCCCCCCACCGCCCCGTGAAGACCTCTATTCATGTGGCCCTGAACACTAAGCTCACATTGTCACAACCAGATCTGCCTGCCACAGCCAGCACCAGGCTTCTCGCATCCCTCCATCCAGAGGGAGCAATCATTGTGCCCAACAAGATGGGGGACACAGCGCCCCCGCAGGCCCCTGCAGGAGGGCTGGGGGGGGCCTCTGGGGCGGGGCTCCTCGGAGGGGGCTCGGTCACCCCGAGAGTGCACAGCGCTATCGTGGAGCGCCTGCGGGCTCGCATCGCGGTCTGCAGACAGCACCACCTGAGCTGCGAAGGACGCTATGAGCGTGGTAGGGCCGAGAGCTCAGACCGAGAGCGGGAGAGCACCTTGCAGCTCCTGAGCCTGGTCCAGCATGGCCAGGGGGCAAGGAAGGCCGGCAAGCATGCCAAGGCCACGGCCGCAGCCGCCCCCACCACAGCCCCGCCGCCCCCTGCAGCCCCGCCTGCGGCCTCCCAGGCAGCAACCACAGCGGCCCCACCACCTCCACCAGACTACCACCACCACCGCCAGCAGCACCTGCTGACCAGCAGCAATAACGGTGGCAGCGGTGGTGGGGTAAACGGAGAGCAGCAGCCACCAGCCTCCACCCCCGGGGACCAGCGGAACTCGGCCTTGATTGCGGTAAGGCACCTGGTTTTCTCGTGATTCTGGCTGTGGTCGCTTGGCCTTTTGTGAAGATGAACGTGGTCTTGGCCTGGTGCGGAATGGGCCGCCATAAAGAAGGCCCAGATGCCATTACCTTGAGGCTGCTGGGTGTGTTTATGTGGCTTTTCGCTCTTCGAAGTGCCCCCTGCTCATGCCTGGGTTGTCCCACACCTGCAGGGTATTCCTTACTAGGCCAGAGCCCGGCTTTCCCCGAGGCTCAGAGGTCCACAGCTTGGGAAGGAAGAGCTCAGGGCTCAGAAAACCCTCCACAGCCTCCTGCTGTAGCCAGTTGGCTCTGCTTAGGCCCAGCAAGCCTCTTCTTTATAGATAGTAACTCAGCTCAGGTGAGCCTCAACCCTTCCCTATTCTTCCCAGCCCCTCTAAAGAGCCTCTTCACCTAGGGTTCAGGGGTGTGATTGACACTCCAACACAGAGCAAGTTCCTGAGTGTGCCCTCAGTCAGAAACATGGGGGCACTATCCCAGAGACAGACCACTGGAGGAGTGCTTCCTGGGAGGATGCTCTAGTTTCCATAGGCTCCACCACCCCAGGCCCCATCCTCCCCGTGCTCTAGGCACTCGCTCAAGTGGCACTGCACTGGCAGCCCTGGAAGGGGCAGGCACTCGGTCCTGCTGACAGCTAAGGTGCCAGGAGGCACCTTGACCTCAGCCTCTCCTGGTCACAGCACACCAAGCCCAAAAGCCTGAGTAAGTGTCTGACTGGAAGTGCTTCCTCAGAGGCACAGACAACACCCAGCCCAGAGGGAAGGTGGTTGAATCATTGATTCTTGGTTGCCAGCCCTGGTCAGGTGACCCACTGCTTGCCGTATCCTGGCTTCCCCCAAACTGGCCTTTGGAGAGAAGTTGGAACCTAGCCCTGCTGCCCCGCTGGCTTCTCCCACGAGTTCCAAGGGGCTCCTGAAGTTCTGTGACTGCTCACTGAGCAGCTGCAGTTTGCCCAAGCCAACCCTGATGAAAGGCGGAAGCAGGAAATGGCCAAGTTGCCCCAAAGCACTCAGAAAGTCCAAAGGAAGGCTGGTGCTGTGGAGTTCCTGAGGGAGGAGGGGGCTGGCTCCAGACGGCCTGGCTGCCTCCCGGCTCTCCTGACCTTCATCCGTGAAGGTGCCCATGGATCCTGCCAAACTCTGCGCACCAGGAGGCAGCTCTTCTTCCTCACAGAGCACAGGTTTCTTGGGCCTCCTTCAACTCCAACCCCTGGACTACCAGGTCCAGATGAAAACCGAGTACCCACAGTTAAAAGGCTGGTACCTACTGTTTTATCGTTGAATGAAACTTGTGGGTTTTGTTGCAGTTTCAAGGCCTGTACTCTTCTTTCCCCCACCTGTGCCATCCTTACTTCTCCCTGAAACTCCCTAACAAGAGCAGGGGAAGTTTGTTTTGTGAGAGAGAGCTGCTGGGGTGAAGGATGATGAGAAGAATGTGGTTTGTATGCATGTGCGTGTCACCAGCATCTGCAGCCAAAAGTAACTAAATACCTTGATTGTCCCCAGTAAATTGATAATGTGTCTGCAAGCCTCCCAACAGTACAGCATTGTGTGCTCCAGAGTCTCCTGTGGAGTGCTGCTGGGGATGACACTGGGAGGGAGGAGCCCAGGCCAACCCTGAGTGTGGCAGACTGATCCTGAGGGGGCCACAGAGTGGCCTTTTCCTATGGCCTTCACTTCAGACTGGGCAAGGAAGGTGACATGTGGCCTCTGGCCTTGGTTTTTGCTTTTGTGCAATTTGGAGGGAAATGAAGAGGCTGTCTCCTTAGCCCAAATGTGCCGGATGCAAAATGAAACCAACTTCAGTGGTTCTTGTAAGGGAAGCACGGTGCCTGGCTTTTCTCCACTGCAGGCTTTGCAGTCGTGCAAAGCTGAAGGTGTTTGCTGTGCCACCCCTGTGCTCAGAAAATCGATTTTCTCCTACCCACCAACCGTCTCCTAAAATATCCCTCGCAGGGACTCCCTCTGTGAATGTGGTAAGTTAGGAAAGAGAAGTAGCAGCTTATTCCTAGTGACTCCCCCCCCCCCCGAAAGTGTGAGATGTTACAAGGGTTGGTCTGACACAGTCTTTAGTTATTGGAAATTCCTCTCCATTTTAGCTTCTAAATTTGGCACTTTGTTCCTTAGTATGTTACTCAGAGTTGGTGATGTAAGTGCTGTGTGAGCCTGATAACATTGTGTCCAGGGGAGGCCTGGTGTTCAGGAGTGATTCAGTGAGCCCAGTGCATTGGGAGGTCTCACTTGGCTTAGGCATCTCCTGTGTACAGAGACGATATTCATTTTAAAGGGCCTTTGCTGAGAATTGGGTGTCAGAATTCCTTCTGCAGCTGTGTCCATAAGCAGAGTTTTTTGGATCTGTTAAATGTGTCACTTTAATAGTTAATTTGTATGCTGTGAGCCCATAAATGTCCTTTGGGGAGAGAGAGAGAGAGAGAGAGAGAGAGAGAGAGAGAGAGAGAGAAAGAAAATTGATCATCTGAAATCAAATATGCTCAGTGTCCTCCGATGAAGTTCTATATCCCACATGCATCCACTACGATGCCTTGTGTGTGGGGGTGGGGGGAGCTTGTTGAAGGGGTGAAAGGACAACTTCTGTTCAGTGGGATAGAGTCGTCTTTGAGGGCTGTTGTACCACAAAGAATACATGCTGTCTGGACCTTTTCAATAGCTCCAGTTTCAAGAACAATGTGAGAATAATGTCTAAGTCAGTTCTAATTCTGTCCACATTGAAAGCCTAATTCTGCAGTCCTAACTTGACCAGTTTCTTCTTTTAGCTCAAGTCCAAGTTCAGGGGAAGCCCACAGCCAAAGCCACTGCAAGCACAGGGCCTTGTGGAGGGCTGGCTTATAGGACTCTGAGGAGCTTTCCGGCCATTTGGAGCAGGCGTTAGGCACTAAATCATTTTCTGCTGAAGTATGTTTGAATCTTTGAATGAACTGTGAAACTAAATAACCACCAGTCCATGGAAGAGTTAGGTTAGTGCGTCCATGGAAAATGATTAATAATCTTTCCCTTTTGCCTGGGACGTGCTCTTCTTGGGCCACAAGCTGCTGCCAGGCCGAGTGGATAAGTGGTTCCCAGCCATCACCAGCTTTAGGGAGCAGACTATCTTTGCTCTAATGTGCTGTGGAGGAGAGCACACACACACACACACACACACACACACACACACACACACGGGAGGGAGGCTGCATCCTTAGGTTTTGTGCCCTTCTGGCTCACTAACCTGCTGGATGACCTAGGACAAGTCACTGTCATCTGTCAGGCAGATGCTAGCTTGTCAGGGAAGGGAATGAAGGAGCTCTTCCAGAACAGGCTTTGGGAAACTTAAAGCAGGACAGTAGCATTTTGGCTGGACCTGCTACTCATCAGCTCCTGAACACTGTGAAGAAGGGCAGCAGGTCTCCAGGATTTAGAGGTACACTCGGGTTTTGCTTGCCTTGTAAGTGGTAAATAGCTCTTATTGTAAATAGAGGGGCTGGTCTTGCAAATTCAGCCAAGATAGCTGTGCGTTTGAGTGTCCTTAAAGTCCCAGAGAGTCCTATTGCTGTGAAAGGCTCGAAGGTCTTTCAAGCATACCCTTTAAAGTCTCTGAGGAGACCTAAGAGACCTCAGCAAGGTGTGTCCTCCAGAGTGTCTAAGGACTATTAGAAAAGTTGCTCACACAAATGGCATGGGAAAGTTAAATATGTTGTCAACAACAGTCTAAAATGCCAGTTCTTAGCTTAAGAAAGTCAAACAAGTTAAATGCTTGCCAAAGTTTCCTGGTTCTTTATAAGTGATCATAATCAAGTTTCTAATTGACCAACTCGAAATCTGAGAGCTGGAAAGGATTGGGGGTGGGCAGCAAGCCTGGATGTCCAGACCAGACATCTATATGATAAATCTCTTCCCTGGGACACTGATAGGAGTGTTTACATTATTTATTTATTTAGCCAGCATTTCCGTAAGAACTGACCTATTTTTGTCCTGCCTTCCCCAGAACAAAGTAATAAAGGGGGTTTCTTATCTACCGGGAGGCCTCACCACCTCTTTCAAGTAAAGAGAAAGCACAGGATGCAAGTGGAGAGGGAAGTTGGTTCGCGCTTCACCAAACACTGTCAGAAAGCTTGCTTGAAGGCAGGTGAGGCCGAGCACATCGAGATGCTTTTTGGGTCCCTATTTTCTGTACAAGTCATTTGCTTTCTTTCAGGTAATGTTATTGCTAAGTCATGGCCATGATTTATTTTCTAGCTCTTAACCTTCAATGCCTGTGACTTCCCTATGCATGTAATCATGTTTAAGAACTAAGATATTACATCTAGGCTCTCAGGTGTTCTCAGACACAGCAGTTAAATATCACTGGAAGAGTGGCCATGATTAGTTGTTTTGTTTTTGTTTTGTTAAAATATTCTTTTTTTTATGCTTAGCATTGCTACTTAATCTCAAAAATGCCTAGTAGAGGGGCTGGAGAGATGGCTCAGCGGTTAAGAACACTGGCTGTTCTTGCAGAAGACTTGGGTTTGAATCCCAGCGCCTACATGGCAGCTAACAACTGTCTGTAACTCCAGTTCCAGGGGATCCAACATCCTCTTCTGTTCTCCGTGGGCATTGCACAACACGGGTGCACTTACCTACATACAGGAATATATACATACACATAAAATAAAAATAATAAATATTTCTTAAACTGCCTAGTAGAAATATGAAAAAAAAATCCCATTTTTCTGTGCATTCAGAGAAGCCCTGTGAGCCTACTGTCTATAACTGCTCTACTCCACCCTGCCTGTGTGCATGTTCATAGCTGGGGCCATCCCTGTTTAAGGAAAACAGCTCTAAATTCCGCCTCCTGCATTTTCATGCTAATTTCCTTCACACCCCAGTGAGCTCTGTGGGAGAATAAAGGAAGACGTTTTTGTGATATGCTAAAGACATAGCCCTAGCGCAGACAGTCCAAAGGAGACATGGCCACCATCACAATGGAATAATGGCAG